CTCACTGAGATACCATGCCGCAGTTTAACATGAATACCCCACTCAGACACAGTATACTGACTCCGAGCTGACCAGTCCTTGTTTTAGACCATCAATGCCGAGCGCCAGACAGGGTAACAACAAGTACCATCTTTTAACGACTTTTGGTATGACGCGGCCGGGGATTGAACCCCGGACCTTCCGCTCTCCGGGTGGATCATCTAGATGTCAACTGACTGTTGAGGTTATATCCCATTAGTTAGACGTCCCATTAGTTAGACGTCCCAATTGTTAGACACTTTTACCTAGGCAAAGAGGGTTTATACCTACAGGTGTAATGGATCAGTCCTTATTAGATTAAAGTACTGAGTAGGGATAGGGGACTCACAGTTTAGGGAGTATATATGTTACAAATTCGTTTAATTAATCTAAAATACCTTACTCTCAGCACAGGTTCAATAGGCATGAGATTAACTATGTAAACTATGGAGTAGCTTAATTGTCTTACTGTATGATCAGTTGAAGGAGTTGAGTTGAGATTATCTACTCATCAAACAAATAAAAATGATCTTGGGGTACGTATCATTATCAGTATCGATGATGGCTGGTTTAAGGAAAGTAGAGTACATCACCTCTCGGCGTGGAAGTAAGCAGTTGATATTAGATGGATATATTTACAACAGAAACCGCGAGAGGCAAACCTGCACACATTGGAGAGGTGTCGTCAAGACATGCAATTGGAAATGTACGACTATCGGTGACTTTCTTCGCAATCAGTCGGAACATAACCATCCACCTGAAGATGAAACCAGAGTGACCTTTGTCAGCAATCTTCGTAAAAGAGCGCGAGAGGAAACCACACAGATGCAAGTCACTCAAGTAGATGAAGCCAGCATCCCAGCGATGCCATCATTTCAGAGCGTGAAAAGTGCACTTTACAGGTAAATATCATCCCGTATTTTTGACTTGGTTAGAATTAACCTTTTTTTTAGGTCCCACCTAACTTGTTTCGCTGTTAACCATTTCAAGTGAATGAAATCATTATCAATATTTCATGTAACATATGTGTAACTGTTTCTTTGCTCTTTATCAGGCATCGTCGCAAGACCATTCCTAGCGTTACCCAGGTCGCGGTCAGCAGTAGACATTGAAGACAAATGGTCCGAGACAACAGATGGACGTCCCTTTCTACTGTTCAGCGACGGCGACGATGACAAGATCTTGGCGTTCTCCACTGCAGAACAGATACAAGCCCTCCAGGAAGCTGACACCCTTTACATGGATGGTACCTTCACAGCATGTCCAGGTTTATGGGATCAAGTATACATCATTCATGCCAGAGTTGGTCAAAGCACCTTCCCTCTAGTGTTCGCCCTTGTGCCAGATCGTCAAGCAACAACCTATGAACCTGGGTGGATGATGACGCCAGATTCTCAATGCGCATGTGGAACCATTTCGAAACTGATGGACCCAGAACCAACGACAACCTTGAGGGATTCCACAGCCGACTGAACTACCTACTGCCACATGTTCACCCTAACATCTACAGATTCATTGAAGTCATCCAGAAAGTCGAGTTCAGTGAAAGGACTAAGGTAATGCAATTGAACTTTGGTGCGGCACCACGCTGACGCAAGAGAATCTACAGAGAGACAGAGAATCGCCTGGTACGCCTCAAAGATCAGCTGCAGCAGGGTGACAAGTCTGCTATTGAGTATTTAGATGCTTGTGGACACTTGCTTCGTTTGGGATAAAACTGTAAAAGTTATTAAATGTAAAGTTTACATTATCAAAAACTGTCACAAAGTGTTGTTACAAACTGTATAAAATTTATCAAATGTAAAGTGTCATTAAATGTGAAGTATAATATTAAACTATCTATTTAAATCTGCTTTGCTTTGTTTGTCAGATCTTATCTGGACTATTCCATTTTAAAGTCTGAGGTAACAAGCATAAGGATTAGTGTGCACTCAACCGTTTAAAGTGTTGTTATAAGCTGTCTAACTATTGGGACGTCTAACTAATGGGAGGACACCACTGTTGACTCACATTGATATCTGCACACTCAACCAATCAGAACACGCATACAGGACACTTCTATACATTGGGAAGAAAGGTTGATATGACATTCAAAATACATTACCTCTTTATGCTCTGTTGATGAAGAAAAGGTCGATTTTAATTTATAGTCTCACTTCATCCGAAGAAATATTATTTTATTTGGGTTACAATATGATCACAATTTCAAAACAAACGGTTTCTCCAAAGCTAAATATATGAATGTAGCGGGATCTACAATCGCACCCAATCCTGGTTTGTTTCTTCGGTTGTGTTTCGAATGTTTATAGGGGGGTCGGGTGGCCCAGTCGTCTAAGACGACGCGATTCGCTGTGCAGAGTTGCGTCCCTTGGGCACGTCAGAAACCTATGGTTGTGGGTTCGAATCCCGGTTCGCCCCAATTATGTTTCTTGGTTTGTCAGCACCGTACCCATGCTCGTGGGTTTCACCGAAGTGGTAAACGTCTGAGACCTGCATCACTTCGGGCTTTCCTCCCACATTCAGCTGACACGCCGTGATATAACTGGAATACTGTTAAAAGCGGCGTTAAACCAAACTCACTCACCCACTCGAATGTTTATATGTATACAATGAGTAACAATGACAAGGAACCACAGTCCCATGGTCGCGCGGTATGGAGAACAATCCCTCTACTTCTGAATGAAGCGCCCAAAGACTTCGTTCGTCACTTCATTATTAAACATATAATTCATATAGCACCCTTGTCGTCTGCAGCAAACTTGCATGGGAGGATCTACTTCAGTCCGTGGTCTTAGGCAAGACGAGATCGCATCCCACTACCGAGGTCCCCAAAGGAAATAGCAATATTGGCCCAGATTGTATACTGATTCTATAGACCTTGTAGAAGAGTCCATCTGTAGATTTGGGTATTACTTGATAAATCAGCTTAGTGTTGGCATAATCATGTTCACCCGTGAAGATCCGAGGTAGAATAGGTCTACAACAACCCATACTATGCTTGTCGTAAAAGGCGACTAACGGGATCGGGTGGTCAGGCTCGCTGATTTGGTTGATGCACGTCATCGTATCCCAATTGCGTGATCGATGCTCATGATGTCAATCACTGGGTTGTCTGGGCCAGACTCTTTTATTTACAGACCGCCGTCATATAGCTTGAATATTGCTGAATGCAGCGTTAAACAACAAACAACAAACAAGCAAACAAACATGATCATGATAATGCATAGACTGGCAATTCGTATGAGGTTCGTAAAGAAGTGGTGTTTGCATAATATAATTTAATATGTCATACATTTATTCCATGCTTAATACACTAATAGACGGAACCCAGTCGTGTGATGAGAAGAGTACTAGAAAAACCAGCTGAACGACCCTCGCGACACAGAAACTATTGTCACCACTTGCAATTTTCTTTAACAGGCAAGAAAGGCCGTCCCCATATAGATCAATGTTACGTGAGAAAAACGACGAACCAATGAGAGTGTAAAGTACTTTGGTCAAAGTATCCCTCCTTTATATTTATTTTAATTAATATTTATTTGGTTATCTAAAAATACAGTAAAGTGACAGACAGTCTCAATTGTTTCACCACACTGAATATCAAGGGATTGTAAAGGGCACCGTGTTGTTTTTAGAAAATATGCACGTATGTACGTAAGCATGTCAATGGCGGATGTGGTACACGTTGACAGTGTTTTTGCTGATGCCCGTTTGCGTGAAGACGGAACCAAGTTGACAAAATGGCCACGGTAGATACACGGGACACCATTCCGAACGACACGATTGGTCACGAGATGTTACGGAAAATGACGGAAATGTCCGAGATTGACTCACCTGAGCCGCCGACGAGGTCGGTTTGTAGAAGTTGTTTGGCCTTCATGACGTCGATGTTGAGCCGACCGGCACTGGGCAAGTAATTGAGGGAAAGCAGGATCTCTCCAAGGTCCTGACGCTCCTGAAATACACAAAAAGAATTCTTTAAACTGCAGTCATATTTTTACATTGGAATAAGGACCCGTGAAGATCCGGGGTAGAATAGGTCTTCAGCAACCAATGCATGCCATAAAAGGCGACTCTGCTTTTCGTAAGAGGCGACTAACGGGATCGGGTGGTCAGGCTCGCTGACTTGGTTGATGCATGTCATCGATCCCAATTGCGTGGATCGATGATCATGATATCAATCAATGGATTGTCTGGTCCAGACACGATTATTTACAGACCGCCTTCATATAGCTGGAATATTGCTGAGTGCGGCGTAAAACAACAAACCAACAAACCAACATTGGAATAGGAAAAACACAGACATGCGTGTCCATTGCAGTGACAAAGATAAGTGAGTATTGTTCTATATTCCAGCAATATCTCGGCTGGGGACACCAGAAATGGGCTTCACACATTGTACCCATCGAACCCGGGTCTTCGGCGCGACTAGCGAACACTTTTACCACTAGGCTACCGCACCGCCCCTGATAAAAATGAAGTAAATTAGGTGATGTTTATTTCGAAAACAACAAGGAGTAATAGTAGTCTACAGGGCTAAGGAGCCGCAAATCGCTGTGAAGAGTTGCTTATCCTAGCCCTACCAAGAGCCCTTGGTTGTAGGTTCGAATCCTGGATTCTCACTGATTGTGATCATGGTTCTGGCGGTGTAAAGTTCATTAAGTCGGCGTTGCTTGGTGCACCATCGTTCTGCTTGCGATCTTCTTGGTGCCCAGCCTGGCGCCCTGAGTGAAGCGCAAGCGCATTCTACCCAGCAAACCACCTGCTTGGAACCTGTCATCATCGCAGCAAATGCTGCTACGCGATTGGTCAAATACCAGTGTCTTGCGTTATATGCATGTTTGGGCATTCTTACAGCGTTATCACGGTTAACACTTGTTGTGCACAGTTAATAGTCTTGTAAGGTCTTCAACCCGCAGGGGCGGTCGGGTAGCCTTGTGGTTAAAGTGTTCGCTCGTCACGCCGAAGACCAGGGTTCGATTCCCGACATGGGTACAATGTGTGAAGCACATTTCTGGTGTCCCCCGCCGTGATATTGTATGAATATTGCTAAAAGCGGCGTAAAACCATACTCACTCACTCACTCTTCAGCCCACATAGTAATTAACAGCGAAATGTCCTCCCTGATTTCAGGAACATAAACATTTATTGACCATAAAAATATCTCTATTTGAGGTCAGTTATTAAATATCTATATCAATATCTAGTGTGTCGTGACAATTTATATTCCTTTTCATCTGAATGTGAGGTTTTAATGTTTATAAAGTACTTGATAAAGTAGATATCATACGCCAAATATATCGAATCATTAGAAACCAAAATAAGTCTTCATTGTAGGCGAGAGTTAAATGTCGTTGCGTTGTTTCTCACACTTGAGACCAGAGGCCATTAAGGTACATAAGACGTATTTCCAACGCCATACTGTGCGATATATGTCCCTGAAATTTCGATCTATAAATATTTCAATCGTACATACTGCTTCAACGTGTATAGACTAAATCGGTTAAAGTGATCTTGAAACATGAAATATATGACGGCAACGCCTGAGAAGAACAGATTCCATCGGGACAAAAGTGATGAAAATTATACGAATTGATAAATGAAAAATCAGCGATGACAGCAGGTGTTCAGGAAAATGGTAATTCAAATTACTAAATCCAATTTGTTCCGTAATGATGATAATTATTGATTTGAAACTACTTTTGTCTGGTGATCAATTTGAAAATCGCTTTCAACAACACTGGCAATTCTTTTAGACTGGCGCCGAATAGCAGCTGTTATCTTGCGTTGATCCTTCTACATATACAAGAATAGAAATATATTTTCGAAATCTAGTGACAGACCCAATACATGCATCCAGCTACGTTGAACGTGGCTTGTTTTGCCCCTTATGACAAATGTGACCAGCACGCATGTCGGAAGCTGGAGAAACACAGGCACTGGCAGCTAGAGGGGAGTCAAACTACAGATGATGTCACTGTTCCTCAGTGCCAGACAGGGACCGCCTCCGTGGTCTAGTGGTAGAGCGTCCGCCCGGAGAGCGGAAGGTCCGGGTTCGATCACCGGCCGCGTCATACCAAAAGACGTTAAAAGATGGTACTTGTTGTTACCCTGTCTGGCGCTCGGCATTAAGGGACTAAAACAAGGACTGGTCGGCTCGGAGTCAGTATACTGTGTTTGTATTCATGTTAAACTGCGGCATGGTATCTCAGTGGGCTAGCACTATCAATCGGCATCAGTCTGGACTAGTACAAGCAGCCACACAAACACACACTCGTACATGCACGTCGCTATATAAGTGCAATAATCCTGGACGCGACGTTAAACCCCATTACATCTCACTTCGCCCGTGCCAGACAGACAGGCGATAACGACGTAATACAGGTGACAATTCGACGTAAAATGATAGAACTGCGAAAACATGTTTGTTTGGACAAACGGTGTTATACTGAATTACGATCAACTCAATCGATCGGATAAATGCTGTGAAACCTTTTCTCATTGTTTAAGTACCGATTAGAGCTTTTTCGAAAACAATATGTTCAAAGAGTGTCACAAAAAACAAAGGTCTTGCCAACTTCTATTTATGTATATAAATGTTGGCAATGTATTGTGATGGAGGAATTACTGTTAAAGCTACCCACCTCACATATGGCAGACACAGATGTGACGAAGATGCGCGAAGACACATTTGGGAAAAGCGCCATACGCGTTTCCAGACAATCCCAATATTTACAAATAAGTTTACTTTCCACCGTACGGCCCGTGTACAGTATACATCTCTGGCAGCCATTGTACAAGGCTGTTAGGCCACACTTTTTTCGCTTTATGGATCGCCGATCGATCGAAATATTCCGAATTTGCTCTTTTTTATCCCGCCGTAAAGCTGATAGCATATTGCCTACCAAATATTTCCTAAACAAGAACCCACTGAAGTTGATATATATTAAATATGGAAATCAAAATAAACTGATAGGATGCGGAGATGCACAACCGTGTTCCCGCTTGATGCGTCAGGTTTGCATTGCTAAGAGAAACAGCAGCCGTGTTGCAGGCTCTCCTCCCATTAAACCATCTTTATATACCAGCCGACCTGTTGTGGTGCAGAAAACTAAACCATCTTTTCCTGTACAAAAAGTCCGTAAAGTAAGTAAAAAAGAGTGGCCTAACCCCTGCAACACTTGAATTCATTTATATTTGGGTCGCTACGCAGGTCCCTCTATCCCTTCTGTGTGTAGAAGTGTGGCAGGCAGTGAGTGAGTTTCTCAGTTATATCACTAAAATAAGACCCGTGAGGTTCCGGTGTACAATAGGTCTTCAGCAACCAATGCTTGCCGTACAAGGCGACTATGCTTGTCGTAAGAGGCGACTAACGGAATCGGGTGGTCAGGCGCGCTGATTTGGTTGATGCATGTCATCGATCCCAATTGCGTGGATCGATGCTCATGATGTCAAACGCTGGATTGTCTGGTCCAGACTCAATTTTTTTACAGACCGCCGTCATATAGCTGGAATATTCCTTAGTGCAGCGTTCAACAACAAACAAACACAGACTAAAATAATGTTCAAAACCAAACTCACAAGCTCACCGAACTGAGAATGTTCCAAAATAAATCTGGTCTTGCAGCTTTAAGTAAATCGTGTAATGGAACGAATGCCAACGCTGTGTCACATTGAAGCCATCACTACTCTCAACCACCTGCGCACGCAATTACGCACAACCATGCCATCTGGTCCTTCTTCAGTTACCAGCATTAAATCGCCCAAATGTGTTTTAAAAGATAAGCTTGCCACATGTGCGGCCTTGTAACAGAATCACAACGCCAACGCTCACCACAGAATATTTCAACAGAGCAAAAGCCATTCATAAGTCACTACAGACGCAATGGAAACGAGTCAATCGCCTCTGCCCACGTCAACAGACTTGAACTGACTCGACACAGTAGACAAAGCTTGAAGCAATGTTCAAGTCGCTGATGTAAATCTCTACAATGTTCCCTCACGGAAACAGTTGAAGCATTCTATTCGTAATGTTTACCGGAGCATGTATTCTCAATGGCTTAATGAAGCGTGGAGCATGGTTGTGTCTCAGTGGATGGGCGTCAACTGAGTCAACTGAGTCTTAAAACACCACTTTCAGGTCCATTGACTGCCGAGATGTCGGGACAAAGGGTTGTAATTATAAAGCGTGGTGATGTTTGTAATCAATGGCTAACAACAACACAATGTTTCAAACAATTCGTGTCAACGCCCTCGTTACGTTACTTGTTTAACTGCACAGCGTGAGAAAGGTAAACGATAAATCAGGCTCAACAAACTGAATAATTACCAGTTCATTTTAAAACTAGTTTCTTCGAATAAACTTTAAACATGTTGGTTAAGCATTGGTTAAGTATGATAGGCTACAAAAAAACAGTATGATAGGCTAAAAAAAACAATTTTCTGATTAACTTAACTCCTCGTGGTTTGGGTGGACATCCTAGGAATGGCAAGCAGTCCGATGATGAGATGAGGTTTAACATCGCGTCCAAGATTATTGCACTTATATAGTGACGTGCATGCACGTGTTTGTGTGTGTGGCTGCTTGTACTAGGCCGGGCTGATGCCGATTTATAGTACACAAACATCTCCCGATCGCGACCGAGGGATTCGCCGAGAGAATAACTTAGAAAGAATTTGAGGATAAATTGTAACTATATTATTTAAGTATTTCGTAGTAACATTATCACGTTAAAAATACTATTACAATTTGAAATTATGAATTCCTATACATGTCATGCGTGTAGGCTTTGACTTCAGAAGAACTTTCAACACGGTTAACAAGAACAGAAAAAAATCATATAAGTGTACACGCTATATTTGAACACTTTATATAACAGTCGAACCATTCAAAGGTCTGGGTGGTGATAGCGTGTGGGACAAGGTTTGGGGCGGAACTTTTGTTTGAGAGAAATTATTCTGCCAAACAGCGCTTCAAGACAAACGGTTACTCTGAAAGGAATATCCAACGTCCAGTGAAAAATCTGACTACAAATTATTCTTTTCCTGCACTTATTGATTATATCTTTTACAAAAGAATTCCCAGACCCTTTTGTCGGCCCTTAATAAGAAACTATGTATGTGACCTTACCGTGTTTCCCGGAGACAAGGGCTTCCACATATGACCTCCCTTTATCAGGTTGACATTAGACAAGGGGAGAAGGACTCGCCCGATGATGCAGTGCCGGGAATATTTGTCAAAGTCTTTCACTATGATTTCTAATGTCCTCATATGCACTTCTTTGTAGGAGATCTCGAACATAAAATACTCATTCCACATCGGGCACTGGCTCTTCCGCTGAACTGTGGTCTGCTGGGAGTTCTTTTGGTCAGGAAGGAGTGATATTTTACAATAAGGATTTGAATGCGCCATGTCTTGTTTGTTCTCGTCGAGACTAAACGGCGGGGGAAGCTCTTTCGCTTCAATAATTTTTACCACAAGGACCTTTGAGGATACTTCGTATTGAAGCCCAAAATGTAACTGACCAAGCTGATACTGGGCCAATTTCTGCTCGTCCGTCAAACACGGCTCATCCACTGGTTCGTTATCGTACAAATCTCGTTGTAGGTTCTCAATGCTGATTTCGCTCTCACTGGGTAGACGACGTTTCGGCTTGGGCTGGACGCTCTCCCTGTTGGCGGCCCAGAATTCAATAGGTTTCATGTCAATGACGGGTGTGGACTTATAATGTTTATATTCCCCGCTGATGTTGCTTGAAGAGGACACGGAGTCTGTTCGGGAGTTGTCGGAGTCGTGACGTTCCCTGCAGCTTCTGATGCTGTCGGCGTTGCTCCCCGTTGAGTCGAGGCGGGAGAGGGACTCCCGAAACGTATGTTGGATGTCTGGTTTGACTTGGGGTTTGGGTTTGTTGGCCAGCCAGCAGTCGCAGCAGTCCTGTTTGCAGCATATCACCTCCAGCACCTTCTCAAGGACCTTCTGAGACTGAAACAGGGATGGATGGGTTAGAGTCTGAAAGTTTAGAGGAGCACCCAAACACAACTCAGAGACCTTCTGAAACTGAACCAGCGACAAAGAGGTTTATAGGTTAGTGACGATATGTTTAGAGGAACATCCCGAACACTAGTTAAAGACCTTCTGAAACTGAACCAGCGACAAAGAGGTTTATAGGTTAGTGACGATATGTTTAGAGGAACATCCCAAACACTAGTTAAAGACTTCTGAAACTGAACCACCGACAAAGAGGTTTATAGGTTAGTGACGATATGTTTAGAGGAACATCCCAAACACTAGTTAAAGATCTTCTGAAACTGAACCACCGACAAAGAGGTTTATAGGTTAGTGTCGATATGTTTAGAGGAACATCCGAAACACTAGTTAAAGACCTTCTGAAACTGAAACAATGACAAAGAGGTTTATAGGTTAGTGTCGATATGTTTAGAGGAACATCCCAAACACTAGTTAAAGACCTTCTGAAACTGAAACAATGACAAAGAGGTTTATAGGTTAGTGTCGGTATGTTTCGTGGAGCACCTCAAACAGTACCCAAAGACCCTACCTTAATTAACATTGGTAAATATCGGGATGTTAGGGGGTCACCGCAAACACTACTTAATGACATTCTGATAATAACACAAGGATGGGTAAGAGTCTGAATGTCGCGAAGAGGGTTGGAGGAACTCCTTCATCACTACTCGAGACGGAACCAGAATCAAAGAGGTCAGAGGTCAGTAGCAAAGGTCAAAGAGCACATCCATTCCCTTCTCAAAGGCCTGAACCAACTAAAACAAAGACAAAGTTACAAAGAGTACCGGACATTCATCAATGTTAGTAAATATTGGCGAGGCATGCGATACCACTATGCTATTATCTGTCGCTTACATGTTCGTTATATTAGATTACCATGGATTTAGCATTTTTGGTAGAAGCAAAGCCAGGTTATAGATCTACAGATCAGTTTACAAGCGATACAATAGCAACAGTGATCAGCAAATGCAGAAATTCACGAAACAGTAAACACGTTTCATAACAGCTGTCATTATATTTGTTTAAAGGACAAATATATCGCCACTTTGGTATTTTTAGAAGACTGACTCCTCCCAGTGTTTGGACAGCCGTGCTGAGAATAATTACCCGGTTATTATGTTCTACAAAGCTTGCGAAATCAACAACATCATTATTTCAACACGCACTGCCGTAGCTTGGGGATTTATGCCGAGTTCAGCAAATTTGACAATCATCTTCATTTTCTTTTCCAATTAGCAGATATCCAGATACTCGCGTCTCCCGCGACGAGTTCAAGGCAGAGTGAAGATAATAGCTTCCTGATAGTATTCATTAACCCTTGTGAGCTGTCATCGACTGCAGGAAAATGCGTATCGACTGGAATCGACTTTTTAAACCACACACTGGGCGCATTTGTTCGCCCCTTTAGATGTGGATTTGTATGTGATGAGAATATGCCAGGTTAAAGGGCGCCTTGGTGGCCTATATGTTAAATCTAGGCTTGTTTTTGTCTGGGGTTGTTCAGTGTACGTGTTGTGATTAGTAAACTTTCTAATACAATGTCAGTGAGGACAACCTAAATAATGCCAAGTGTGTTTTTCACTTTAATTGTATATAAAATAGTTCGGACCTTGTTTTACGTATTTGTACATCTATATAATAATTGAACTACAGTGCTTGTCTTTGGCTTGAGAGGGGGGTGAGTACAAGTGATGTGAGGATGGGGAGGTGTTATGTGAGGATGGGGAGGTGTTATGTGAGGATGGGTAGGAATGATGTGGGGATTGGAAGGGGTAATGCGAGGATGGGTAGGTGTGATGCGTACGAGCGATCTTAGAATGGGCAGGGTGATGTGAGGGTGGAAGTTAGGATGGGTAGAGATGAAGCGAGGATTGGTAGGGATAAAGCGAGGATGGGTAGGGATGAAGCAAGGATGGGTAGAGATGAAGCGAGGATGGGTAGAGATGAAGCGAGTATGGGTAGAGATGAAGCGAGGACGGGTAGAGATGAAGCGAGGATGGGTAGGGATGAAGCGAGGATGGGTATTCTATTATATTAAAGTCTTAAAAAGCCCCCTTTATGTTATACTTCGTTTTAAGAATATTCAGAGAAGCTATGCCTTATGCATTGCAAATATCCTTTATAAAATGAATGCCTTTCTTATACCTGCTTTCCTCAAAATACTTTGGGTCATAAGACTCATAATTTAACCAGAGCGGTTCTGTAAAAATATTTGCAATTATTTCATGATTTGTTGCATGTTTTCTATAATATCTTCCCCATATCAAAAGAAGTTCTTTCCAAAAATGGTTATCAACCTTAGTAAAATAGTAACAGTCGATATTTGCTCTCATGTGGAAGATGTCTCTTAAAGGAAAGAAGCTAGGGCTAGCAAAATTCATTTCTGAAACAAAAAATTTTAAAGAGGACTTTTTTAACAGATTCAATAAACATGTTCAAGTTTATGATTCTAAGTCTTCCATCCTTATAATTCTTCATTAAGTCTGTTCTTTTAATTTTATCCAGTTTATCATTCTAAATGAATTCACAGAAAGTCCTTGGTAGATTAGTCAAGGATGAACTGATGTGTATGCAGAGCAAGAGTTTAATGTAAATTCTTCAATTAATGTTAAATTTCTTTTTCTCCAATCAGCCAACAATTTGTTTATTTCTTCATGTTTTTACGGGTGTGTATGACCCAAAACTCCTCAAGCTGATTATTTAGTTTAATCCCTAAAACTTCAAACTGTCCTTCATGCCAATCTAAGTTTTTTATCTTGACTAAGTTTAATACTACCGCCTGCCAAATTACTTTTGTTTTGTTAATATTGATTTTTAACCAAGAAGAATTATGTTAAGTTGTCAGAGTATCGTGAGAGGCTTTTAAGCTATCTTCTGTACCATCTAGGTAGAGTTTGAGAGAAGTCCATTTTGAATAACACATGTTGAAGAATTAATTATAAAGATATTACCAATTTAACTTTGTAAGGACCAAGCCATATCTTTCTAAAACAGAAAGTATAAATGGTTAAGAGACAGTATCAAATTTTGTTTCAAAATCAATAAAGAGCAGCATCCAAGGTTTGTTGAATTTTCTGGTTTCAAATATAATTTGATACAGTGTTTTGGGTTGTTATTTGTCACTGTTGTTGTCACTGTTAGGCATATAATCCGCCACATAATATGTTTATGTAACAGCTCCCTCGCCAAATAATTTGTTTGCTTGTTGTTTAACGCCGGACACAACAATAGTCCAGCTGTATGACTGCGACCTTTAACTCTATCGAGCCTGGACCAGGCAAACCAATGATTCATATTACCGAATTTCCTCGATTAAACGCAGGATCTCGATTAAACATCGGGTAGTTTTTATGCATGGAATTGCACATCATTATCTTCGGGATTAAACGCCGGGGTTAAAGAGTGTCTGAAAGAAATATACACCCGTGCGTTTAATCGAGGAAATACGGCATGATCAGCTTCCAAACCCGTCAGGTAAGATGGTACGCAATCGACTAAGTGACCGTCCTCGCCATTTAGTCACCTGCAGTCTCAACCAGTATCTTTTTCCCAATAACGTGCGCTAGAACTATTGACGTCAGCACATATCGTTGTAATGAATATGAATAAGCTGTTTAATTTCTCCGAGCATTCTCATTTGCGATTACTCTACACCGACTCACTAAGTCAATACATTAAATGTCAGGTTTTCGTGAAATCAGTTCCCAAACACGTTAACATGGTAACTTCCGATATCCGTGACGACATAACGGGGTCCAAGCAACTACTCGAATACACCCAGCCAGGTTACACCAACCTTCACGACCCAAGATCTCTGGCATATTCCTTGGACGGAGGTGCCAAAATATGCCAGACAACATCTCCGTGAAGATATTGCTTCGTTTCCAAAGGATTCATTTCATTTTTATTGTCCATTGTTCTGCAGAACTGAACCTTCACCTGAAGAGGTCTCTTCGCCGTTGTATGAAATTGTCGCAATCTGACAAAATCATGACAACTATTTCACGCCGCTGGGTCCGCGAAGTAGGGTGTTTATTATGAAATCGATAATCACTAACCACTATATGGCCCTCGTTACAGTTTATGTTCCTCCCTAAAGTCTGCTTCTCTCGTGGAAACAGATGGCGTTTATGTTTATTGCAAGCGGTGTTCACTGCTTAGGGGGCGAAAAATGGTTTATTAACCGACCGTGTGTATTGGGTTTTACGCCAACGGGCGAAGAGAAATCTTGAAACGTTATCGCTCGTGCAACGGCCTCGTCGTGAACTCATCACTGGCAACTAGGTTATTTCCTGTGAGTTGCCCATACATTCGTGGTAATTACTTGCGTCTTGTGTTAATGTTTTCGAGATGTTTTTTTTATAAAATGTTGTCTTATGTCGTTGAAAATGTTTGTCATCATTCGGAGCAACGTGTGACGTTTCATAAACGCATTGCTCTTGTAAGATGTGAGGTGCTCTTGTAAGATGTGAGGTACTCTTGTAAGATGTGAGGTGCTCTTGTAAGATGTGAGGTGCTCTTGTAAGATGTGAGGTGAGTCGAGTGAGAAGCAAACAAGTAACGATTCACCATTGATTTGGTGAGCTCACTCTTAGCTGTACATACGTCTTCTTTAAAACTGTACACACATCTACTCTTAAAGTGTACACACATCTACTCTTTAACTGTTCACACATCTACTCCTCAACTGTACACACATCTACATTAAAACTGTACACACATCTACTCTTAAACTGTACACACATCTACTCTTAAACTGTACACACATCTACACTAAAACTGTACACACATCTACTCTTAACTGTACCCATATATCCTCTTAAACTGTACACACATCTACTCTTACACTGTACATATATCTACTCTAAAACTATATACATATCTACACTAAAACTGTACATATATCTACACTAAAACTGTACATATATCTACACTAAAACTGTATATATATCTACTCT